CTGCTGTTGCTGCTGTGTCTGTTGTTGTTGCTGCAGCAGCAGCTGTGTTTGTCGTTGTAGCTGTTGTTGCTGTTGGTGTTGCTGCCGCTGCTGCTGCTCTTGCTGTTGCTGCTGTTGTTGCTGCTGCTGCTGCTGCTGCTGCAGCAGCAACGACCGGCTACACTCAGCTGCAGCGGTTAAGGGGCCCCTCGGGGGCCCCCCAGCTAAACCCTAAACCCTAAACCCTAAACCCTAAACCCTAAGGAGAAGGTTGTGGTTATTTAATCTGTTAATAATGTATGGACAGAAGAAGTTTACGAAGAAGCGCTTATTAGGGTTTAGGGTTTAGGGTTTAGGGTTTAGGGTTTAGGGTTTAGCTGCTGGGAGCAGGGGCCCCGCATGCAGCCCTTGGGCCCTTCGGCACTACGAGGCACTAAACCCTAAACCCTAAACCCTAAACCCTAAACCCTAAACCCTAAACCCTAAACCCTAGCCCCAGATTTGTGTAAACTGCGATGCCGGTGAGCGGCATTGCGATGTTTTTATTCCCCTTCTTTTGTCTTCAGTTTCAGGTCCAAACCCTAAACCCTAAACCCTAAACCCTAAACCCTAAACCCTAAACCCTAAACCCTAATCCTGCTCAGCATGGCTTCTTAATTACAGGGGAGAAGGTTTCCCCCCTGTTGTGCTGCAGCTACTCTAAGCATTTGCTGCAGCAGCAGCAGCAACAGGAGCAGCAGCAAAAGCAGCAGCTGCTGCTGCTGCAGCAGCAGAGCTGCTGCTGCTGCACCAACACCAGCAGCAGCAGCTAGAGTAGCACGGGCAAAAGCTGCTGCAGCAGTAGGAGCAGCAGCTGCTGCAGCAGCAGGAGCAGCAGCTGCTGCTGCAGCAGAAGCAGCAGCAGGCGCAGCAGCTGCAGCAGCTGCAGCAGCAGCAGCAGGAGCGCTTGAGAGAAGCTTCAGCAGCAGCAGCAGGAAGGCCTCTTTGTTGGCCTGAAAAGATGGTATCCCCAAACCCTAAACCCTAAACCCTAAACCCTAAACCCTAAACCCTAATCTTGAGGAGTTTGAGGGTTTAGCACTCCAAAGCAGCCACAGTAGCCGCAGCAGCAGCAGCAAAAGCAGCAGCAACACGAGCAGGAATAGCAGCAGCAGCAACAACAACAGCAGCAGCAGCAGCATGAGCTGAAGCAGAAGCAGCAGCTGTATTAGTATCAACAGAAGCAGCAGCAGCAACAGCAGCAGCTGCTGCTGCTGCTGCTGCTGCTTCTGCTGCTGCTGCTGCATCCGTTCTATGTTTCCGCGTCTTTTCACCCGCCGCTATATTCCTAGGGTTTAGGGTTTAGGGTTTAGGGTTTAGGGTTTGTTGTGCTGCAGTCGGTGCTGCTGCTGGGCGATGAAAACCTAACCTTCTCGGGCTGTCTGCTGCAGCAGCTCCGAGCGGATCCATCAAACCCTAAACTCACTGTCACTGTAACCCTCACAGCAGAAAACTCGCGAGTAAACCCTAAACCCTAAACCCTANCTCACTGTCACTGTAACCCTCACAGCAGAAAACTCGCGAGTAAACCCTAAACCCTAAACCCTAAACCCTAAACCCTAAGCCCTAAACCCTAGACTGTAAACCCTAGGGTGTTTCCAGCTGTTGTATGGGGTGTAGGGGCTTGATACAAGGGTTTAAATGCGTCTTTCTTCTGTGCATTCTCTAATCTAGGGTTTAGGGTTTAGGGTTTAGGGTTTAGGGTTTAGGGTTTGTGGTGTT